CAGGGCAAGCTGGGGAGGGCTAGCCTCCCACTAGTTCAAATTAAGTGGCTACACAGCCCTTAATTCGAACTACTTAATTCAAACTAGGCGTTAGTCCTTGTAGAATGTGGTTTACCTAGTTCGAATTAAGCGCTCCGCTAGTTCAAATTAAGTTTGAACTAGTGGTTTGTATGTGTAGCGCCTATCAAAGTTAATTCGAACCCCAACACTGCCCGGCCTAGCGCCTTCTCCCCGAGCCAGCATCCCCTTATCCACCTTCTCCTGCATCCAGATTTCCTCCCAGAGCTTGCACCTCTCACCCCTTCCCACACCCAATCCCTCATTCCCACCCCAAAGCCTACACATTCTGTCTCAACCCAGCAAGGTTACGGCTAGACTGCAGGAATTTTTCAGGATTCTGGAGATATCCCAGAAAAACTCTTCTGCATCCACGGATGCATTTGTTCTTCTGCTTCTTTTAGTGGAAGAGCAAACATGATCTATATTCCTCTTTCCAGAAGGAAGAAGGGGGCTTCCAAAAGAAGGGGGTTTTCTGACATTTGGTCCAGTCTAGACAGGCCAAATGTTGGAAAAACCTCTTCCTACAGAAGAATCGGGGAAAAAAGCAGTGGTATAAGGATTGGGGATAGCAAGTGATGGAGAGGAGGAGAATAAAAAGGGCGGAGCTTCGAGGAAGGGGCGGGGTGGAGCAGTAGATCTTGGCTTGTTCTGTCATTTAAAAAGTGATCTTGGGTGTGAAAAGATTGGAGACCGCTGGACTAGAGGCATTAATACATTTGTATGAGACTGTAAGTGTAGGTGTAGCATGTTTGTGATGAGATTTAATTGTAACTGTTACTTTTAAATGAGAATATAGTACTTTATTGATATTTTTTAAAAATGAAATGTTTAAATTTTGTTTAAATCATTGATTTTTTTTTTTTATCCACCCTGATTTTTATCCACCCTGTTTTCGTCTAACAGTGGATACTGTTAGAAAGAAAATTACTCTTAATGGCCAACCAGCATATTCCATGTTCCCAGAGCACTATGAAAAAACTATCATTGGCAAAATAGTAAAACATTGAAGGATGGTCATCTAAACAAGTTTCCGTCTTGGCTGAATTTTACTATGTGACTCAAGGACTTAATTACTAGTAAAATATTTGGCAAGAGCCCTACCTTCATGACACTGTGTTGTGTTCAGCTCTGATCTTACAGTCTGTCTGAATGGTTCACAAGATGTACTCAATTAGATGTAACACATTCAAATTCAATAGAATTTTGAGTAATCCATACATTAGGTTGTTATGGTAATGTAACTAGTAACTTACTGAATATTTCTCTCTCAGCAATTTGTAGGAAGCCTGACTAACTGGAGGAGGCTGTACTGTGTACTGAGAGCTGGTAAACTCTCTTGTTACTATACACCTGAAGAAATTGAAGCTAAAGTGGAACCAGCTTTGACAGTTTCCATCAACAAGGTAAAATAAGCAGTTTTTGTTAGTCTAATTTGGGTCCTAAAATCCAGTTGAAAATCTGCAAAGTACTCTGCAAGTAGCATGCATGAGAGGTGTGCCTTGTTTCGCTACTAAGGGCAAGTCTATGCTCTAAAATTAAGTCAATGTAAGTTATGTCAGTGTACAGCTGCTGCAGTAATTAAATCACTTTTGCATGTCCACCCTGTGCTCTTTGTGTTACCAGTATGCATCTTCTTTAGCAGTGCTTGGATCAGTGCAGAGAACTTGCATCGATGCACTGGGGGTAGCTATCACATTCTGCAGCTTGCCACCATGGAGCACAGGGTGCTTTGGGAAGGATTCCAATGCCTTATAGGGGCAAATGAGTTGTGCAGGGGTGACTGGGAACATGGTTTCAATGTCCTCTGATGGAGTTTTTTCCATCCCATAGTTGTATTTTCATCCCATAATGTTTCCCATCTCCTTTGAAAAGTTCCACAAATGTGTGTGTACATCATCTCTATGAGAACCATGGATCCTGCACAACTCGGCACCATTGTGATGAGTATTGTGAGCACAATGTGACTGATACTGCAGGAGGGGAACATGACCATTCTTTCGAGGCTAGCTTGTTCTGAGACACAGAAACTATTCTAGGTTATTGTTGGCATTCACAGAGGAGCTGCAGACCATGGAGCATTGGTTGTGGGCCCAAGAAACAAGCACTGCCTTGTGGGATTGCATTATTATGTAGATATGGGATGATGAGCAGTGGCTGCAGAACTCTTAAATACACAAGGCCACATTCCTGGAACTGTGTGCAGGGCTCACCCTGTACACTGGCACTGTGACCCCAAAAATGAGAACTGCACTGACAGAAGAGGAGTGAATGACAATTGGTGTGTGCAAATTTGGAATGCCAGATTGCCGCGGATCATTCAGGAGTCACTTTGGAGTGGGGAAATCTACATGGGGTTGCTGTGATGCTAGTGTACAGGGCCATTACATCACATCCTATTACAAAGGACTCTGAGTTTGGGCAATCTGCAGGACATAGTGGAGGTACGTGTCACCATACTGTGGTGGAGTACAATAGATGGAATGCTTGTCTATTTTGGCAGCAGATCACCTTGCCATGAGGTACACCAACAGAATGGGGTACTTTTCTATAGTATGGCAAGCACTGGTGGATTGCAAGGTTGATGTTTTACTAACATCAACATGGAATGGTCAGGGAAGGTGCACATCTCTGTTAAGAACACAAGCCCATTAAGAATGCTGCAAGTAGGGACTTTCTTTCCAGACCAGAGGTTTACCATTTGGGATGTTGAAATGCCAATAGTGATTCGGGGCGACCCAGGCTACCCCTTATTCCAGTGACTTATGAAGCCGTACACCAGCCATCTCAACAGCAATGAGGTGTACTTCAGTTTTCGCAGGGGGGCCGCTTCATTAATCTTGGCATGTGATCATGGGCTGGCTTTAGGTTCCTCAGAAGGGGCAGGACTGGGAGCTACCGAGAGGGACAAAGAGAGTGTATGAGTGTGAAAGACACACTTTGTTTGTGAAAGACAGACTTTGTGACACATACACACTGCCACACACACTCAGTATGTGACGGTGACTGGGTGTGTGTGACAGTGACACAGTCTGGTCAAGTTTCTGAGGAGCCACATGCTGTCTTTTTAAGGGAAAATCGGTTCTGCTTTGGCAACTCTCCCCTCCCCCGCTCTGCACTCACTTCCTGTCCATGCTTCAGCCTGGAGCAGCTCCACTGTGTGTTTCCCTCTCCCCAGCCCCTGCTTTGCAGAGATGGGGTATAAGGCCAAGAGTGACCCTGGCTTCAGCACTTCCTTCTCCCTTCCCTCTCCCTCCACCTCTCTGCACAGCTAGCAGGAAAATCCCAGGAGCAGCTCTGCTGCAGGACAAGCAAGGTGAGGGGGAGAGGCAGCTGAACACATGCTGCAGGCTGTAAGTATGCATGCTCTGCTAATCTGCTGGGCAGCCCGGATCCAGCCCCCGGGTCTGATTTTGCCCACCCCTGCACCTAGCAGGTGCAGAATATAGTTTTGGCCATTTGAAAGGCCACTTGCATGGTCCAGTCACCAAAGTAGACCTCAGTGAAAATACATCCTAATGGTTAGAGCTACCTACTGTGTGCTGGGAGATTCTGCTGGAGTGGCTGTCTGTTGATTTTGAGCAGCCAGATACCAGGGCTATAAAAAAAAAAATCTGTGGCTTAGGAAGGCTTTGAAAGACATTTTAGCAGTGAACCACAGTAATGTGTCTTGCTGTAGTGTGCTTTGCCTGGTATTGTTTTTTTGCACCCTGAGATGAACCTTGTAGTGAATACTTTGTGTGTAATACTAGAACATTACAAATGCATCTATTGCTATTATCTGTGAATGATGTCCCTGGCCAGCATATGTTGTGAACTAATCAAGATGTCAGTTTCCATAAATAGACTTTTATTCTAAAAAGCCCATGCAAATGGACATGAAATTTTATAACTATAGGAAAAAAGACCCTTTGAAGGGAAGACAACAGTCATTTTCATTTCACAAACAAATACACCAACTATGTCTCTCTCAGGTGTAGCTGTCATTGTCTGTAATCTCTCCTGAGGAGGAGTGGTAGGGACAGTGCAGCAGCACTGGATGCCACGTCGGGTGCATGTAAACTGTTCTGCAGGGCATCCTCTGCCTAACTGTACAGGGGGATGCAAAGCAGATAGCCACTCTACTTCTATTGGTTCTTTCACTTGTAACATGATTAAAAAGGAGTAAATGAACAGATGTTCCCTGCAGTATCAAAAGCAAAGTGCATACTTACCAGAGAGAGGGTCCCTGTCCCGCATCAGGCTCACCCATGGTGGATGGTAGGGGCTGGAGTAAAATGCTCTGGAGTAAAATATAACAGGTCCTGCTTTGCTGTGCCCCATACTCCTCCTCCTCTTCCTCTTCAAACACCAGTTTCTCACTGCTCATTCCAGGACCTGTGACTCTAGCACCCCTGAAGTAACTGTGGAGCTCTTGGGAGGGATGGTGAGGTCTCTACTGAGAATGGCATGCAGCTCGTGCTAAAAGTGGCATGTTTCAGGCTTCACACCAGAGTCACCGTTGTCTTCCTTTGCCATCTGGTACATCTGCCGTAGCTCTTTGGTTTTCATGTGACAGCACTGAGGGTCCCTGTTATAGCTCTTCTTTCCCATGCCTCAAGAGATCTCGTCCATGCATTCAATAAATTGAATGTATCTGTTGTTGGATTGGAACTGTGTCTGCACAGCCTCTTTTAGGGATGTAAAAGCCTTACTAGCATGCTTACCTGGTAACATATTAACTAGAGGGCCAAACCCAGCTGAAGCAAGCCCCCCGCCCGCAGGGCAGGCAGGCTGCCAGCGCAATAATTTTTTGCTGTTGCACAGTTACTAAAATACTTGCCGGGGATGGTGACTGCAGCCATCCTGTTCTCAGCTCCTGGCCCTACTCCCGGGGGGCCCCATGCCACCCATGCTGCTGGCTGTGCTTTGGCTCCTCGCACAGAGGAATCAGCGTAGAGTGGCAGCATCCCCTGTCCACAGGGGGCCCGAGCTCCTTGCAGACAGGATGCTCTGGCATCCCATAGAGCAGCCTCTGTCCACAGGGAGCATTACCTGCTGCAGACAGAGGCTGTTCCACGGCAGGAGCCCCTGTCCACAGTGGGAGCCTGAGTTCCCTGTGAACAGAGGCTGCTTCAGTTTCCCTCTTGCCCCTGTCTCAGTGCTGCTGATACAGAGGCAGCAGTGTGGATGGGGGGTCAGGTGGCGCCACAGAACCGCTGCTCGTTGAGAGCCAACTTTTAAGTCAGCTCTTGCCCTTCACGGACTCCTGTCCTTCTCCTCACCTCCACCTCCTTGCTATCTCTGTGGGAGGAGGCAAGGGGGTGCAGGCAACTCTGCAGAGCCAGCCTGCATGGAGAGCCAGTTTAAAAGCCTGTTCTCTATGCATATTGGCTCCTGCCTGTCCCCCTCACCCTCCATGCTGCTGCCTTTCAATTGGAGGCAGGTGGCTCCACTGGATCCGGTGCTCCCGCTGGCTCCTCACAATGCTGCCTTTGTGGGAGGCAGGAGGAGGGGAGGGGCAGGCAGCTTCACGGGAACCGGCATGCGCCTTCCCTCCTTGCTGCCTCTATCAGAGGCAGCCGGGGGAAGGAGGGGTTGCATGTAGTCGTTTGAGTCCCCTGCCCTGTTAATCAGGTTTATAAACTGTTGACAGAGCTTATAATTTATAAACTGTGGAGCAGCCTGTGTCCACAGTGGGTTCGGACTTGCCATGGACAGAGGCTGTTCCATGGGATGCCAGAGCATCCTGTCTGCGGGGAGCTTTGTCCCCCTGCGGACAAGGGTTTGCTGCTTATGCTTATCGGTTAATAGTTTAAACATCTATACGCTAACATCCCTAATTATGACATAGGTTTTTAAGTTACCCATGAGCGGCCATGCAAATCTGCAGGGATATAGGTAATGGTCTCTTAAACTTTTGTCCCTAAATCTGGAATTTCTGCAATTTTATTTTAATTGTTCCTTCTGTGGTTTGGCTTCATTCTTAACCATAATCAGGGTCATTCGGTAATATTTTTATCTTATTTTTATCTTATTAAAATAAACTCCTTTTGCTAATAATAATCAAAAGTTTTCTATAAAATCTCTCAAAATTTATGAACTATGTAGGACTCCAGTACTTTCAAGATGGCTCTAAATGCAATTTTTATCATTATTGGTTCCCTCAGATGGGCTGGTCTTCCTGGGTATTGACTCTCCTCATCAGGGAAGTGTTGCCTGATTCCTTCTGGAGAGGCCCCATGGGCACCTATTATTGGGCTGCATTATTGTAAGCCAGTCTGTCGGGGATCCCCTTCACATGCAGACTAACTCTCTATAAACTTGTCAGCCAGCTACCCTGCACTGTGCAGATCTTTTGGCTTCTTTTCCATCAGTCACAGTCTCAAGTCGGGGGCAGAGTTCATACAGCTGCTCCAGCACTATCCGTTTAACCTACTCCTCTGTGATCTGGGCCCCATCTCCAACTGCCTATTTGCAGGTATATTGCACCATCCAGAGGATTAGCTCCAGATAGATCTCTCCAGGGGCCTTCTGTGTCCTCTGGAATTTTTTTCCTGTGTGCCTTGGGGGTTAGCCCAGACTTGCACAGCAGGGCTCATTTAAACAGCTCATAGTCCCCTGCCTCAATCCCATCCATTTGGCTGAGCGTCCTTATGGCCCGGGGATCCAGTAAGGGGAGGAGATGCTGGAGCCTGTCTGCCAGCTTGTCAAGGGCCCACCAGAGAGACATGTAGAGCTAGTGAGGGCTACATTCCTCCGATTGAGGCTAATGTTGAAGGAGGCCAAGTCGACCTTTCTTCCCATGCAATAGAGTTTATGGGAGCTTTGTTGGACGCAATCCAAGCTAGGGCCTCTCTCCCCAGGCCCAGGTTTCTAACAATAAAGGACAGTATAGAACGGCTGCAGCTGTCCCGTCATGACAGCCAGAAATTGTATGTGGCTGCTGAGCCATATGGCAGCATGCACATATGTTGAGCAACATGCCAGACTCAGGCTGCGCTCTCTACAGGTGTGGCTCGCTCACACTCATAAGCCCGCTCACCACACATTAGCATGCTGGTCACTATTCCTCTCCAAGTGGTCTCCCTGACCTGGTGGCTACAGGAGAGGATTGTGTGCATTAGAGTGCCTTTCGCTAAACTGCAGCCTTTGGTTTAGGTGGCGACAGACACTTTGGTACTGGATTGAAGAGCGCACTTTGGCGACTCAAGGATACAAAATATGTACTCGCAGGGGAAATTATCTCTGCACATCAATGTCAGGGAACTAAGAGCAGTCTGGCGTGTCAGACATTCCTAGCTTATTCCTAGCACAAGGCATCTGTGTCTCAGTCCTGACAGACAACACAGCAGCGATGTTATATATAAACAGGGTGGTTCTTGTTCCTTTCCCCAGGAAACAAAGCCAACATTCCATCCGGTTGGAAACCATGCACCACCCAGGAACTCAGAATGTGCGAGGGGACCACTTCAGCTGTTTCTTTCAAACCCACGAGTGGTCCTTCAGAGCGGATGTAGCCCTAGGTATTTTCCCCACATGGGAGTATCCCCACTTATTCCCTTTTGTGCTGAAGAGGTCTAGGAAGTGTCCCCCTTCACACTGAACTACCTACTAAACCTAAGAAGGCAGGGCTTAGCTATATCACCCGTCACGGTCCACCTGGCTGCTATCTCTGCCCTGCACGTGAGAATCCAAGGGAAGTCAATCTTTGCCTATCCAGAAGTATGTCACTTCCTTAAGGTCCTGGATAGGTTATACCTGCAGGTGTGACAGCCTCTTCCATCCTGGGACCTGAACCTAGTCCTCACAGGATCATGGATCCATCTTTTGAGCCATTCAGTCGCCTTTGTGGCACAGATGCCCATCCTGGAGATTTGCAGGGTGGCCATCTGGTCTTCCATACATACATTCATACAATCATTATGCCATCTCACAGCAAGCTAGGGATGATGCAGCTTTGAGCAGAGCAGTGTTGCAGTCCATTTCTCATTAGTCTCTGACCCTACCTTTGGTTTGGGATTGGGATTCACCTAAATGGAATGGACATGGTCAATCACTCAAAGAAGAAAAAACAGTTCCCTACCTTTCCCTAACTATTGTTCTTTTAAGATGTTTTGCTCCTGTTCATTCCAAATCCTGCCCATCTCCCCTTCATTGGAGTGTTTCTGCTAGAAACAACGGAGAGGGTGGAGGGCCAGTAGAGGTATATATGCCCTGCCATGGAGGCGCCACTCCGGGGGGCTCCCCTGCAAGCCCAATGGATTCTGCAGAAGAAAAAAAACTTCCCACAGTCATGCATGTGGTGCACGCACACCTAAATGGAATGGACATGAGCAACACATCTCCAAGAACAAGTTATAAAAGGTAGGTGACCATTTTTTTTCCTCTCCCTTATATTTTTCTACCTATGCATTACAGTATACGTAATTAGAGCACAACACTCTCCTCAGCAGGAGCAATATTGACTCCCCAGGATTGCCTACACCAGAAAAACTGAGCTTAATCAGCATGATAGTTCTGACTATTACAGTGACGGTGACATAATTTGTTCAATAATTTTAAGACTATGAAAGGTAAGGACATTATTGCATTATAACATGGTTCCTTATTGGGTTTTGTTTTGTTTTTATTTTGGTGAAGAAGGCCATGTACTGTAATGCATGGTAGATAGATATGTTGTAATGCATGGTAGGTAAACTGATCAGCTCATTAATCTAATGCAGTGTTTCCCTATTTTATTTGTCCATGGAACCCTTTTCAGCTTAAAAGAATTTCAAGGAATCTCTAGGGTTTCCAGGGTAAAATTTGTCAAGGGGGGAAAAAAAAGACCCACCAGAATTTGTCAAGCAAAAAACAAACCCCCCGCTCCCGGCAAAAAAGACTCTGTCTCTTTAAGAGGGGGTGGGGGAGTGCTGCATTCTGCTGGAACCCTTACTTTCGCTTCGCGGAACCCCAGAAGCACCAATTGGGAAACACTGCTCTAATGGTATCCTATATCACTCATGAAATATGCAAGTGTGAGGTATTGATTGTTGCTTGAGAATTTATCTCCTTAGAATAGCAACGTATATATGAAATAAAGCCTGCAGCAAACATTGTAACATAAAATTGTATATGGTATGCTTGAAGTTCTTACCTGTCAAATGTTAATCTGTTTTATTTAATTTTTTGGCAGTATCTATGTTTACCCGAGTTAATGGTTCAGCACGTACAGATAAATTACTTATTCTTCTATTTTAGATTGACGAATTTAAATTAGCAAATCCATCCAAATAACTGTTAGTATTTCAAATGGTTACCTCAATAATGCATTTAATAATCTGGGATATGTTCTATAGAACAGCCTTTTGTTTTTCAGACTAACAGCACTAGGATTATTCTCACAGGACAAATATATGTACCTTAATTTACTTAGTTCTACATTTGAAATCTGTAACAGGTGTTTAAGATTCATTTGAAATGGAATGGGAGGGGTTCAGTCAGTTTGAAGTGAAAGAAGTTTAAAGGAGTAAGCAATGTCTTCATTTTAATGTAACCTAGATTTTTGTTTGTAAATGAAGAAAGGTTAATAACTATATTTTATTTCATGGAATGAGCATGTGCACTGCAAAGCAGCATTGTTTTCAAAGTGTGCATTAGAATATTTTGCGCTGCATCCAACAAGATTTTTAGTCTCTCTTAAAATATTTTTGTACCTTGCATTACAAAAAAGACGGGGCATTATTTTAATCAGATTGCAACAAGTGCTACTTTGTACTGTAGTAAAATATCAGGAAAGCCGTATATGATTGATATACCACAAGGTCCAATCCAGATTTTGAAACTGTTTGAACCATGTCCTTGAACAATGTAGAACTTTGGACTGAGTAATGTTGCACCATAGTTCAAGAACATGATTAAAATAGCAAAGTCCTTTCCAAACAAAGAACATTGTTTTAGTTTATGCTATGGGACAATAGTATTTTAACGGAATCGGGTCAGAACTCGCTAAATAGGGCTATTTTCAAAATAAATATTTGGGTATGTGAGAGCAAATAGATTTTTGGCATGAAGGCAAAAATGTAAAATTTGCAATACTCTGAACTTTGAATTTTTGTATGCTGGATATTTGTTCCATTAGATCTGTGTGGGTAACTTTTTCTATAAATGTCCCTTTCAACTTGGACTGGATGGTTTTATTCTCCACATTTCTGTTACTATGGTATTAGACAAATGCATTGATTTACTGAAACTAAACTAAAATAGTTCCAGGTTAGAATGCACAATTGCACTCAAAAAGAAATCTTTCTTGCTATCATAGGAAAACTAAACACCATGTATTAAAAAAAAAAAAGGTTGACTAGAATAAATATTAAAAACAGAATAACCTACTGTCCCCTATTAAGTACTGCATAGTACTGAGGAAAGATGAGCCCTGACAGGATGAACTGTTTAAGGCAGTGGTTCCCAACCTTTTAAATACCAGGGCCTGGCAAACCCATTCACAAACTTTAGGGAGACTGACAACGTTTTATTAGAATATTCATCACACAAATGATGAATATGTAGATAAAATGTTGCTGGTTGATCAAAAGCTGAGCCCTCAGTGCCAGCCCTAACCTCTAGAGTCCCCCACCCCTCTCCTCCCCCACAGCCCCATCCACTGACCCTAGAGTTTCCTGCACCCAACCCTTCCCCTAGTGCTAGCCTCTCATCCTCAGAGCCCCCCAGTGCCAGCCCTGCCCCAAAGTCCCCCCCCCCCACTACTAGCTTAGCCTCCAGAGCCACCCAGCACTAGCCACGCCTCTGGAACCCCCAGTGCCTGCCCTGCCCCCCTCACCTAGCTCTGCACTGCTGCCTGCATCACAAAAGGTTGAGGTGGGGCAGGACACATCTCTCCCAACAACCGCAGTGAGATCAGTGTACCCTGGCCCCCAGAGCTGCCACAGCCTGGCAGCCAGAGGTCTGCGGCCTGGCTGTTAGGAACCACTGGTTTAAAGAACTGTTATAATATGTGTTCTTGGTGTATAATATGCACTGCACACATTCAGCTTTATTCTGTTATCTTTCATATTTATTGCCTTTTCTTTTAATTATCTAAGAAACTAATTTTGTATTGTCTATTATTTTGTTTAACTTTTAAAAATCCCCCTTCCCAAACAACTAAATTTACACTGGATAAATAACCTAATTTGTATCTGCTTATGATATTAATGTTGAACTGAAGATTTATGATTGGGTGAAGCAATAACTGATTACCAGAATCTCAATCTATTTTATTGTAATTCGTAGGAAACCAGAATCCGTGCTGTCGAAAAGGGCACCAAGGAAAGAAGTAATACTTTTTCTGTGATCAACCCTGTGGATGAAGAGGCTGTGACTCAACTCTTTGCATCTGACAGCAGAGAAGAACTTCATAAGTGGATGGAAGCGTTGTGGCAGCATTTCTATGATCTTAGTAAGTGTGTAGTTTTGACAGCATGTCCTTTTAGTAGGACAGCTATGTAACATCAAAAGAAACACTGGGCAATCTGAACTGAAATTACATAAATAATCCATCACCTG